CTCTCTCTCTCTCTCTCTCTCTCTCTCTCTCTCTCTCTCTCTCTCTCTCTCTCTCTCTCTCTCTACCCCTCCCCTCCCCTCACTGTCTCCCTAACTTCCGGTAGAAAATGAACTGCGTGGGGGGGGTCTGAAGTTGATTATGGCTTGGGTTGGGTGGGGTCTGAGGTCAATAAGGCCTTGGGTTGGGCGGTCCTCTAGAACCTCAACTACCAGTAATATAAAAGCCGGCCGTCCAAGCGTAGCACTTGTCAGACCAGCGCACACTTTTTGTTCTTTTTTCTTCTTTGTTTCCCCTTAAACCACTAGTACGTTTGCCGCTTGGGAAAATAGCGGGCCTCAGGTAGGCGCCGGACCTTTTCAGAGGCCGAAACGAAATGACGGCCGCCGATCAGATTTATCAATGGCAGTCGTCGTCGGGCCCGACCTCCGAAGATTCAGGAGTTTGGGAAAACTGCCAGTTTTCCCTATTTTCCCATGTGGGAAAGGTACTAGCGTTGAGGAGCCTCTGGACGAACTGTCACAGTAATGGACGATAACCTGCAGTGGACGAACCTTTGCTTCCAACCTTTCCTTCCATATGTTCGATTCCGTCTGAAGCATGGCTATCTCTTGTCACATGGATCGGTTTTTCGGCACTGACTGATGTGTTGAGCCGCAGGTCCCCGGATCTTCTTTGGCACTTGAGCAGATGTGGTGAGCGGTTTGAACGACAAGTCGCCGGTGCTCGATTGTCTTCCGAGGTACCGTTTCCAATCGAGTACGTATCAAACCAGGATCAGGAACTGATTCAGAATCAGATGTGTTGAAGCCTTCTGCTGCTAAATTCATACGTACTCGATCGGAAACAAGACGGTAGATGGAAAGCGTGGCCTCTGGGCCAGGCGTCAGGCGAATGTTGGTGCATGCTTTGGTGGTCCCCATCAGCGACTGGTGGTTTAATGACCCGGCCTTGAAAAATTAAAAGGTCGCCATCAACTGGCCTTATCGCACAGAAAAAACTGCATCCGGCGCTGACATGGAGGCCGCTTCGAGGGGGCACAACCATGCACCTGCCATAGCCCGATCTTGGCCGACAAGCGTTGGTAATCCTAGATTGGCAGCAGAAGGAAGGGGAGAGATGTGGGGTGTGGGGTTGGTCAACGGGCAAGATCTGCGCATCGTACATATCAGTATTATCACCCGATCAGGGGCTTTGCCCTCTGATTACAGATAGTACGGAAAATGATCGCGGTTGCAGTTTTATCTGTGCAAAGAGCTGGAGACGAAGGACAAGAGTGCATCGACAAACGTCGACTTCCGGGAGAGAGAGAGAGAGAGAGAGAGAGAGAGAGAGAGAGAGAGAGAGAGAGAGAGAGAGAGAGAGAGAGAGAGAGAGAGAGAGAGAGAACGGTCTTCATGCCGCGACCAGTATCGCCCACCGTCTGTCGCTGACAACGGGTTTCAAGCTTCGACCGGGGTTGTCCATCGTTGTGTAAGCTCGTACTGCGGGCGTCACGGTGGCGTTGCTCATGATTCTCTTACCTTTGGTGCTTTTTTTTCACAGATTCTTTGTTGTGTTTTTTAGATTCTAATCATTTGGCAGCAACTTTGGCTGTGTCTTCTCAGTATAGAATAGTACCAATCACGGTTGTATACTTGGTCGGAACTGTGGGGTGACACTGTATAATTGGTCTTTGTGGACTTTGGGGTACTAATCCGCTCGTTGACTTTGTTTGTCACCAATTATTAGGGTGGCGATACTCGCTAGGTAGGATTGGTGCTCATCACGATGATCGTGATTTTCAAAGATTGGTGAAGCAGAGCTATGCTACCTTCTTGCTGGTTGGCGGTGTTAATTAGAGGTATACAGAGTGTAGAGTGTGAATTTTGTGAATGGTTGTTGCTTTTGCCCGGCGTGGGTTGGTCCATCACGTAGGTTGCTCATTTGAGGATTTTAGTTGGGGTTGCTGATTTGAGGATTTTAGTTGGGGTTGCTGATTGGAGGTGCATAGGGGATAGAGTTTGAAATTTGTGAGTCATTTTGGGATTTTGTCTTTGGGGGTAATTACTAATTAGGATTAGAATCATAAGATCATTGACAATGATCTTCAAGTTGTTTTTGTGCTTTTGGTTGGTGATTTGTTAGTACCGGGCTTGAATTTCGCTAGTCTAAGGTTAGGGTTGCTTAATAATGGCTGTTTGGAGAAACGGTTGATTAGGATTTCAGTTTTTAAAAATTAGGGAACGGGATTTTTGTTTTAGGGTTGGGGTTGGGGTTGGGATTGGGATTGGTTGTCATGACCTTGTGGGGCTGCGGTAGGGATAGGTTTGGGTGAGAGTGCCTTGGTTAACCCGTTTGGCCGCAGAAAATGATGTAAGGGACGCCGGGCCCGTTTTCCGGTTATATGATATCTGCTTTGTATTAAAAAAATAAAATAAAAATAATAAAAAAATGTTCAGTTTATTTTTGTGCATAAGATAGGTTTTTTTTTTTTTCTTTTTTTTTTTCGCTTTTTTTTTTTGCTTGGAGCTTCCCTGGTCCTTGCATGGCCGGGCTGCCTGGGAAAGCAGGGTGACCTGGGCGCCCTGGTTGGTAGCCTAGTATTTATGTTTATATTTTATTTTGATTGCGAACATTGTTAAAATGCCCCTCAGCTGAAAGTTCGGGTATTTCGTTAGATACCCCTAAAAGGCATGGGTATGGCGAAATGCCCCTAATATGACAGGTGAGAAACTTTGCATGCAAAATACCCCACTCGCGAATTGGACCTGTCATCTTTGCATATACCACTACCGGGCCGTGGGCAACTTGTCTATATGCCCCTGTATTTCTAGCCGTCGGACCCTGCAGTTGGGCAAAGGAAATGCGCCAGCCCCTGCAGTCCAGGGCCAGGGCATATGGCAAAGTTGGCGATGACCGGTACAGGGGCAGATGCAGAAGTTTGGGGCATGTTGGCGTACCCCTGTGTTTTAGGGGTATCTCACAAAATGCCCCATTGCAACTTTTAGGGGTATTTCAACAATTATCCCTTTTTTTTTCTTTCTTTTTTTTTGGATTGCCCCTGTGGCATACTGCGTGGCCACACGGGCCCTGTAGGACCCGTCCTGGACATTCAGCCTAAAAGCCTAAAACTTAGGATCTACAGGCCCCGGTTGTTTCAGCCTGAAAACTGAAAAACGAGGGCCTGCAGGCCCTACTCCGTTTCAGCCTATTTCTGGGTCTTTCAGACCCAGAGTTTTTCCAGCCTGAAACGGAGGGCTATTCTTAGGCCCTGGGCTATTTTTAGGCCCTCATTTGTTTCGACCTGCCCTAAGATTCAGGCACGAAAACTGGGTTTTGGAACAGGCTATTTCTGGCCTGTTCCSGCRMSAGCWCGAGCAGGAGCTGCAGCTGCAGCCCCTGCCTCCCTTCGGCATTATTGGCAAGAGCACGAGCAGGAGCTGCAGCTGCAGCCCCTGCCTCCCTTCGGCATTATTGGCAAGAGCAGCCTCCTGGACTGCTCGCCCGAGTCAGGAGGCACCCGTGATAGTACATAGGAGCTTCAGGCACTGAACGGGTAGGCAGTTGGAGAGTAGGACGGTAGTCTTCAGATTTCGGCCGCAGCACTCAGGAGGAGCGCTGCAGCGCTGGGCGCTGTAGGTGGTAGGTAGTAGAGTGGGGAGAGACACTGGCGGAGGCCAGTGGTACGTACCTGTGGCTCCATCGCTCCAGCTCCATCTTCGAGGTATCTGCATCAAGGCGCCAACTTCACAGGTTAGTACTGGAGAGAGAGAGAGAGAGAGAGTTCTTCTTCCTCTTCTTCTCAGTCCACGGCCTGTCTCTTATACACATCTAGATGTGTATAAGAGACAGGCCCTGCCATATCGCATGGTCAAGTCTTCCGCTGTGTTTATCTCTCCCTGTGCGGTGTGATACTCCTATCCTCTCCCCTTCCTTCTGTGTATGTATGGGCATTCCTGGAAGTCTCTGTGAGCAGAATCATAACACAGTCTTGTGCATTCTGCCTGGCGCTAGCTTGATTCCTGTCTCTTATACACATCTAGATGTGTATAAGAGACAGCTTATACTTTGTATTGAAAGGTCGGTTCTTGTTCTGGTCTGCACCTATACGGTATGCAACAGCCCCTCTTCTCTCAATTGAGAGCATCTCAGGAGTAGCAGTTCTGTTCTGTTTGTTTGTTTGTTTTGTTAAAAAAAAAAGTAATAAGAAGAAAACACCACTTTTTTAATTATTATTATATTCCTGGAAAATCTGGTCCAGCATCCCTTACATCAAGTGTACTCACGCAGCACCTCTCTGCATTACGGTCATCGAGAGGTCCTGAGACAGCACCATCGATTGCTCCTGAATCGGGAGGATGTACCACCGCTCCACCCCTGCTTTCTTCTCGGAAACACTCGACGGCCGTTCGTGACGGTTTGTCTACCTCCACTTTCTACCCTTAGTCCCTGCGCTATCTGTCAGCAGTTCTGTTTTTTTTTGTTTTTTTTTTTTTAAACCATCCCTTTCGGAGATAGTGCTGCTGAT